GAGCCGCGGGCATCACTTGGTTCCCTGAAGGCTTCATCCGCAACAACTCCTCAACACGGCGGCGCACGAGAAGACGTGGCCCAGATGGTCAGGAGATGAGGAATTTAAACAAAGCCTCCATTGGCTGCATAGATGTTGACATAAACGGTGGGCACATGGGCCCTCCACACTGGTCAGATGAGGATGATGATGGGTCAGCTCCGCCACGAGCGAAGCGAGCGCGAGGACCTGGAGACGCTAACGGTGCACCAGGAGGTTACGCGTCAGACCACACTGCTATAACGGACTACGAGGAGGCAGGGCATGAGCCCAGGGTATGGACGCAGCAGCACCTGGACGCGGCCGACATCCGCGTGCCGCCCAGCATGATGACACCACCGGCCATCGTAAGTTTATTTTGTTTTATCTACAGACTGAATGGTAAAATATTAACGATACTAAATGTGTGGCTCAAATCTTGTTTAGTTTTTTTTTTTTATATTAGACTTTTGTTATTTTACTAATATTTCCTTCCAACTAAGCTCTGAACTTGTAAGATATTGTTTACAATAGTTGAATGGCGGGTTTCGAACCCTCGACCGCTAAATCGGTAGTCTGTACCCCAAACCATTGGGTTATTGGTACTTAGATTATACAATTACGTACTTTAGATTTCAGCTTTTCTTAACACCGCACGCCAAGTTCGTGTGTAGTGTGACCATGCGTTGCGTAATTATTCATCTCTCGATTAAGTTAACTCAGCTCTAAATTGATATTTAGTTTTATCTTATACGTGAAATTTCAACAAATTCATAAAAAAATCCGTCAACTCTAATAAAGAAAGCTATTTAGCTTTCCATGTAGAAGTCATCTTAAGAAGTTATTTCCGTATCGCAGCACGACAGCCACGTAGACGTGAACGCGCGTGGGCCGCTGGGAATGACACCGCTGATGGTGGCTGCCATCCGCGGCGGCGCGCTGGACGCCGGCTCCGACGCAGAAGATGAGCAGACGGCACACATCATCTCCGAGCTGGTAGCCCAAGGGGCGCAGCTTAACGCAGCCATGGATAAGACCGGCGAGACCAGCCTGCATCTTGCCGCAAGGTAGACAAAATTAGCTTACTAGATATTTTTAGCACTCATACTTAGTAAAACAACTAAGAGCGGGCGTATACCTTTGATTAAAGTATCACACAACTGTTGTGCGATTGTCTGATTGTCGACTGTTAGTTGCACAACTAATAGAGTAGTTTGCTCTTCATAAAACCTCATAATCAAAGCGAGACTAAACAATTGTGACAGTTTAGTCAAAGGCTTGCGGGCGATCTGTATTCTCCCAAATTATTTTCTATATCTGTGTCAAATATAATCCGTTCAGCCGTTTTAATGATATTTAGTAATAAATATATATCCATTTAAATTCACTAACACAATTTTTCTAGATACGCACGAGCGGACGCCGCCAAACGTCTATTGGACGCGGGCGCGGACGCCAATTCGCAGGACAACACTGGCCGGACGCCGTTGCACTCCGCCGTCGCCGCGGACGCTATGGGCGTCTTCCAGATACTGCTTAGGAACAGAGCCACTAACTTGAACGCTAGAATGCACGATGGGACCACACCTCTTATACTTGCTGCTAGGTAAACAGGAATACATAATACTAGCTGTTGCTCGCGACTTTGTCCGCGTGGAATTAAAATATAGTAAAAAAAATATCGCAAATTCGTCTGTGGGAGAAGAAATATTATTAAAAAAATACAGCCTATGCTACCTAGTAATAACGTGGCTTTACAATTATTTTTTTTGAAATCGTGTCAGTAGTTTTTAAGTTACTTAAAAAAATACAAATCTTTTCTCTTCATAATATTAGTATAGATTCTAGAATCTCGCGAATTCGTCGTCAGAGAATAAAATAACTATATTACTCAGGGATCAAATAACTTTCTAATGTCGAAAGATTGTTTTAAAAAATTTCCCTACCAGTTTTAAAGGAATCTAATACATTCTATTACAGAAAATACACCAAAATCTGAAAAAAACCCTTAAAGTAATAAACAGAGTTAAGTTATTTGATAAAAGGTATTATATCTGTCTACAAAAATCAAAACGTAAATGTCTCATGTCTCAGGTTAGCGATAGAGGGTATGGTGGAGGACCTGATCAACGCGGACGCGGACATCAACGCGGCTGACAACAGCGGCAAGACGGCGCTGCACTGGGCCGCCGCGGTCAACAATGTAGACGCAGTCAACGTATTGCTTGTACACGGTGCTAATAGGGACGCACAGGATGACAAGGTACGCATCCCGTTTTTGCAACACTGAGGGCTAGTCCCAACACTGGCTGATAGAGGCTCAGATAGCTTAAAAATGACGTCACTGTCAGGTAACAAAATCCGATATTTTTATCACATATTTTACACGTTGGATTGTTATCAGACACTTTACAGACCCTAAGTCAGTCCTACAAGATTCTTATAAGTAAGCTATCTGAGATCTGAGCCTCTATCAGCCAGTGGTGGTACAGGTCCTAAACCATATAAAATTGCCTAAAAGACGCCCCCGGAGTCCCTGAATGGTCGTCTTATCCTTACACCAGTATTGCCAATACGATTGTCAGTAGCGCCATCAGTCTGCAAGAAGTATATATACTGACAATATTAGAAACGCCATCTATTGACAGATAGATAACAACATAATCGAAGGATAATGATCAAAATTAAAGTAAGTTACCAAGTTACAGGAATTAAATAAAAATGAAAGAAAACTCAGTAGTACAATTGAGTAAAAGCAATAACAAATAAGTCAGAATATAATCTAAAAAAGGATAGGTAGACAAATCTGCAAATGTGGACGTGTATGGACTTCAGCCGCTTCGTTATATCGGAAAATTCTGTTGACCTCCACGATACAAGTTTGTCACCTTAAACTATGAAACAAAAAAGAGAGGTCAGAAGAAATGTGAATACCGTAATTAGTGCATTTATAGTAGTGCAGTATAGTACAGTATCTAAATGTATGATGAGTTATATTATTGATTTTGTAGGACGAGACGCCATTATTCCTGGGTGCTCGTGAGGGTTCGTACGGCGCGTGTCGAGCGCTGCTAGACGCGCTCGCCAACCGCGAGATCACCGACCACATGGACCGGCTGCCGCGCGACGTCGCCCAGGAGAGGATGCACGACGACATCGTGCGGCTGCTGGACGACCACTGCCCGCGCCCGCAGCACCACCATCTGCTGCGTCAGTACTTACTACGTAATGTACAGTTGGGGAAATGGGTTTTAAAGTCGTTATCGTCTCGTACACTTTGCGTCTAAACGTAAAGATGATCAGTTCCTAATTATTATTTTTCAGTTGTGTAAGAAAATTACTGCTACCTGATTGGTTAAATACAAAAAGGGGTGCAGTTTATCTTGATTTAATTTGACTTGATTAAGGAATGGGGCAATTTCTTAAAAGTGGAACACTAACTTTCCGTGACTGTACACTTTTCTTAAAATGACATTGGTCTTAAAATAGTTATCTCTTGTAACAAAAATGTCTAGAAAAATAAGTGATCTGGCATGTCAAATTTAATCACTATTTAAAGACTTGAAAAAAATCTTTTAATTCCATGTGACCACGATTTTTCAGTATTACAATTTCATATTTGTGCATAGTTGAGTATCCTCACAATAATGTTTTTTTCCAGCATCCCCCAACCCTCACCCGCAGCTGATCAGCCAGCCGACAGTGATAGCTGGCGCGGGCAAGGGCAAGCCGAAGAAGGCGCGCGCCAAGCCCGGCCCCGACAGCCCGCAGGACCAGCCCTACGACAACAACATGCACCTCGCGCAGATACGACGGTAACATATCTGTCTACCCCTTTCTAAACTCCATATAATACGAATTTGTGTTTAAAATCCAATAAAAATACCTTTGAGAATAAAGAATCCGAAAACCTTAGTAACGATTTAAATAAATGATTTACAGTAATTTACTTAATTACAGGAAACCGAGTGTAAAAAAGAACAATAAAAAGGTGGCGCAGGAAGTGCCGCAGAGCGTGGAGAGCCTCGGTTCCAGTCTCAGTCCAGTTGAATCGCCGCTGCAAAATTTACAGGTATCTTTGCAAAAACAACTTAAAACTCGTAAAAATCCTAAATAATACTACATTAGATACTTTACATTGTTTGTATTAATCTTGGGTTAGATTAAACTTTGCCGTTTTATCTAAAATAAAAGTAAAAAACGCTTTTAATGTTTTGGTCCTTCGAGCACGATACATTTATTCCCTTCTTTGTTCTATCATTTATTGTATAATAGTAATAAATCTATCATTATACATTTATAGACAAAACTATTTAGAAACGCTTATTGTAATTTGTATTGAATTTGTCTATAAAAGAGTTGGGTGTTTATCCAGGACTTGCCGTCGCCGTACGACGCGACGTCGCTGTACTCGAACGCTATGGCGCAGTTCCCCGGCATGGAGCCGCTGCTGCAGCACAAGCAGCCCCCCAGCTATGAGGACTGCGTCAAGGTAACCTCCCATACCACACGCATCTACTCACCCTTGTCCCTACAGAGGGTCGGTTGCCTGCTCCATACATTTCTATCAGCAACTATATCTAAATTCACAAACTTAAGACGGCACACGTTCCCGTGCGGCTTCATCCGCATACGATTATGAAAACTTTATTTTATAATTCAAAACAATTCTCAATTGCAAATGTCAAAAATCAAATGCACAAATAACAACGAAGGCCTTTGAAATTGGATAACAATTGCCGTTACCATGGCAACCTTGCTTCTTAATTGTCACCTTAGTTTTTGTCCCTTTCTCACATATGAGTTTTTTTAGATTAATAGCGTTAAAGTATATAGTTTCAAGCGTGTTGTAATTGTAGGCTTTATTAAAGAAATGATTATTCAAAAACATGCTGTGATTGCTGACATCCTACGCCAGTGTTTTTACGTTTTATTATATTAGTATAGATATAAATATATATGAGAGTTTGTTTATATAATAGTGTATAATGTAACAGTATTTGTTGCAGACGGGTCAGACGCTGCAGTACGGCGGCGGCGCGCTGGGCGCCTCGCTGTCGCCGCCTTACTCCAACCACTCCCCCACGCACAGCAACCACACCACCTCGCCGCACGCGTATATAGGTATAAACTCTACAAAACCACTTTTATTTACTCAAATGGTTAAACTTTTAATTGCAAAAATCATAATTCAAACGCATAAATGCCATTGCCATTGGATATCTATTATTTTTACCATGGAAATATTGCTTCAGTGCAGATATTTGATATTTTCTAATAAATTCAAGCACTTAATAAAACAACCGGAAAATATGTCGCCTAAAGCGTAAAGTAAACGTAAGGTTTTTTTTAAAACAATATTATTCAAAAACATGCTATATTTTATGCTGTATTATCATACTATATAACAAAGAAATGTGTGTTTACGCATAAATAAGTATAAATTTTAACATAAGCCTCAAATTTTACTTCAAGCAGATATTAAATATTCATTACCTACACGATTATAGCTCTTAAAGCCTTAGTAATAACGTTCAAATTCGTTTGCCAGGTTCGCCATCGCCGGGCAAATCGCGGCCGTCGCTGCCGACGTCACCAGCGCACATGGCGGCGCTGCGCCACTCGCACCANCACCAACACCAGCTGGATGCCGCCACGTATTCAGCTCTCGCACATCTTAGTAAGTATGCACTTGCGTCTCCTCCGTCGATTAGCGGTAGACAACGCATCCGCTATTGCGAATGTCTCAGCGGTCGCTCCGCCATTTTGACGATTTCAGGTGGCCGCTTGTTCGTTTGCCACCCAATTATAAAAATAACTTGATACAAAGAGAGATATTTGCCATTGTTTCTTGTTGCTATTGAACTACGGTAAAGGAAATATCCTCCCATAGGAGAAAACTAAACTTGGAGTTGGCCGAATTCAGTTTCGTTTGTTTTGCGACAAACGATATTTTGATATCTAAAACTTTTTCATAAATATAGTCATTTTTGTGTTTTTTGTGGAAAATATGTTCAAAACAACACTACAGAGTAGATGAAAATACAAAATTGATTAAAAATGAACAACTATAATGGACCTGGAGCATTTTAAATTGTCGACAGTCAATATGTTTAGTTTATGAGCTATCAAAATAAAACGCCCAAAAAACATTTCTGGAAACTATAGATTTGGGCTTAAGTTTTTGTCTATCTTTTGTCCCAGTGGCCTGTAAGAGATTCCTGATGGGAAGGCCTCTCTTGCTTTTGTAATAGATTTGTTTAAGTATATTTATAGCAGTATTTGTGCAAAAATTATTAAACAAATAAATGATTTTAGATTTGTTTAGTTTTCTACTAGGATGATGTGTTCGTGAGATGAGTTTTGTGGCGATTTCTTTGTGGATATAGTGATAAGTGTTGAATCTCCTTCCAGGTGCTAATGGGCAGCACAACGCGCAGCTGCAGGCGGTGATGACGCACGCGGCGGCGCTCGGACAAGTGCAGGGACATCACCCCGCGCTCACCAATATGATATCAGGTCAGTATTACAGACCATATTCTAAATAAATTGTTCTAGAAAACTTTAAACTCCTAAATCTTACTAAATTTCTTTAAACATACATCTTCCGCCCGCGACTCCCTCTGCGTGGAATTAAAAACAAAAGTAGTTCTTTCAGACTCTCCTCTATATGTATGCCAAATTTCATTGAGATTTATTCAGAATTTAAGATATATTTTCTAACAAACATCCATCCATCCTTTCGTCTATACTAATATTAATAACATAGTAACATATTTTATTTTGCTATATTTCTAGACTAAGCCTAATAGAGAGTTAACGTGAGTCAAGTACTCAGTACTTAGTGTCATTTCGAGATGCGAATTTATAGTTTTTTTACTAAATCAAGAACTCATTTCCATAATCAGATTTAGTACCAGTTAAAGATTTTTTGTTGCTATTTACGCATATGGTCAAATTGCCCACAATCGGAAATTTTATTTTATTATTAATGAGTTGTTTTGTTTTACTTGTTTTAGGGATAGGTCTGTATGGTAGCTGGGGCATTGGCGATACTTTCCCGACGCCGTCTCCGGAATCCCCAGACCAGTGGTCATCGCCATCGCCACAGACACCGTTAACGCAATCGCCACATTCAGACTGGTCCGACCGCGCGGCGCTATCGCCAAACGACATGCAACAGACAAACAAAGGAGCCACTGAAGCCATTTATATATAAACTGGGAACATAACTATGCCATTTTGGACTTTATGTATGTAAACATAAGATTGATATTCAATTTGATATTATAAATCCGAAAATGTTTTGAACATTGCAAATTTTTTGAAGTATTTTTGTAATTTTTAACACTTTGACGTTGGTATAAACTTTTTTTGGTGCGTATTTTAAAATAAAGGTGTTATTAAGGTACTATAGGTTGACTCGATTTTTCTCAGTTGAATGACATTTAATAATGTGCTTTTCTCGAATATAATCTCAAGGTGCTTGCGGTTTTTGATAGACTGATTTGTGTCGCCATGACAGCCCTAGCTAGCACTAGTTAAACTCGATAGGACAAGAATGTTCGTATTTAGTGATTCTCCATTGACGTTTAGTGACTATAAATAGTGTTTTTTTTTAATTTTTAGCAAAAGAATATAGGAACAATTGTAACATTAGTAATTGAAAAATTATTAATAGTTTCAAACGATACGTTTTGCACTATTAATAAAATGAATTTAAATTGCATTTTTTGTAATTGTTAGCATTTTTTTGTATACGTGAAAAATCATATGTAATTTTTTAATCTACTAAAAGATTGTAAATCTTTTTTACCGCGTTTTTTTGTAAAATGGAGTTTCACGAGAATACATTGATCGGATATGAAATTGTTTGTTGTTGAATTTTTTTATTATTAGCTTGTTTATATGACAATGTGTTTTGAAACATTAAAAAGCGGGAAATCTATTTAATGAGATTGTTTTGATTAGCGACATGAGCGGATATTATTTATGTGTGATTCCTTAGCGCTAATACATTTTGTGTATGTAGATTTTTTTTTAATTCTAAGACATTAGGTTAAGTTTTTACTAAACTAAGATTGACGCCTGACATAGTCAATCATTTCCTAATTTTTGTTTCAGTGATAATATATTTATTAAAAAGAATATAAATAACTATTTGAAATCAGCATCAATCTTAGTTTTGTTTATTTTAAGGTTACTTCCGCTTTTTTTATCATTCCAGTTGTGTACTTCCAAATAAGTTTTATGGCGGGAAAATACACTTGAAATAGCAAATATTATTCTTTATCAAATTACGAAGAATCATCTGGCACTTAGAATAAATTTACAAAATGATTTAAAATGCAATTTACCCGTTGCGTATTACCGTCTTTTCGTGTCCGCCATCTTGTTTTTGTGTATTCTCCCGCTTTTTTTGCTCCAGTATCGTGCATACAAATGTATAGAGATCTCATCATTCCAATCTCGCTTTAAAACAAATTCCTTAGGACCATTCTATGCTCAATTTGTTACAAAAAATATTCCACGTTTTATAATTAATTGTATTATATAATTGCTAAGTAATTTACAAGTTTAAAAAACTTTCGATGTCAGAATATCTGCGTATTGTAAATAATTAAATTGTAATCTGTTTCTAATATAAAAAAAATATATTTAACGAGTCCGAACTTGAAAAAATGATCTTCTTAGTGTAATGTAGTTTTTAATTTTTTTTTTAACTGTGTCATGATTATGTGCCAATGAGCAAAGTTCAATATTGTGAAAAAAGGTTGCAAATTTACCTTTTTAAATACTTTGGATGGATAAAATGGATTGTAAAATTAATAATAAAAGTAGGTTACGTCCGTGTGCTTCCTTTTTATGCATTCTTCAATATGTAAGAACTTCAATATGTAAAAAAATCGATTATAAAAGTACAAATTTAATTTCGGATTTAACCTCTATTGTCCTGTTTGTAAATTAAATACCAGAAATATGTAGAATCTCCTTTTTTTTCTCAACATTTAATTAAAAACACTAGGCCATTTAATTCTGTAAGATTTCGGTTATTGTTCTTGTTTTATTTACTATTTTAGATAGTCAAAAGTTGCAACTCCATGTATGAAAATAAAACTCGATTTTTTTCAGATCTTTCGAGACGATATTTTTAAGATGTTTTATACAATTTTTTTCGACAAATTCAGGACTTTAGGTAAATTCAATTTTGGCACATGAAAATTTAACTTGTAATACGTGTAAAGCAAGGCACAAAACTTGTAAAGACTTGTCAAGTCTCGGTGTGCCTTCAACCTAGCTCTAAGTATAGGGACATTGTAATTTAAACGATATTTCTTAAGTTTCTAATTTAAGTTACATTTTAAGTGCTTGTAAATACATTTAATTACTATTATTATTTTTATGAAATGCATTTCTTTGTAAGAATCTAAAATTTTTTTGAGGAAAATCAATTTTATTAATTATTTTCCTCGTAAGTGACAATAAAGGAGTAAATTTTATACAATTCGTTTTATTAAACTACCCTTTTGAGAATAATTCAAACAGAATAAATGCACATTTTTATTGTAATTCGTAAATTCAAAGCTTCATATTGTTTTTTAAAACTTCTTTCCGTGATCATAGATGGCGTTGTTTGGTTAGTTGCTTTGATTTCATAGGTTCCCGTTTGATGTCGCTGTCATCGTTCATTCGAACTATTTTGTTAACCAGTATCAACTTATTTTAGTAATACTTTATTTATACAATAAGAAGACATTTTTAAATGAATTAGCAAACATTATTAGTACATTTCGAACTAAATTCAAACGGTAATCAAGATAGAATTAATATAATTTTTCGAAATACCTACAAATAAAAATATCTGGTTGTCATTTTAAACGTCGTCGGCTAGAAATATTATTGTGTGATAAAAAAAATATTAAATACTTGGATTTTTATTATTTTTTAGCACATGGCAAACAAGTAAGTGTTTTTATTTGTTTTGTATATACTTATTTTAAATAATAATTTTACTACTCTTTAAAAAATCCGAATAAGTTAGAAATCTTTAACAGTTAGCCAAAGGTTATTGTTATGTGACAATTGACTAAAAAAACACTTAAGGACTGTCTTAACTCTGAGTAGGAAAGTTATAGGATATTATTATTACCAGTGAGCGCAGTAATCACACGGGGTCCGGTGACGATGTCGTGGTGCGTGTTCGCGGCCACAGCTGTGGTGATCACACTCACCACGGTGGTGGCGAATGTGGTAGCGCTACTGGCGTTGTTGCGAGTCAGTCGGATGCCTTCACACTATCCCCTCATGAGCTTGGTGACAGCTGATCTGCTGGTTGGCACAGCTGTCATGCCTATAGGGGGCGCTAGGGAGCTATTTGTATTTCATTTAGGTACGAAATGTTATGCTAAAAATTTTAATTATTTTAACATAAGTAATTCATTTATAATTTACTGTGATAACATTGTAAAAATGTAGAAAAATCTGAGCACATATAAACTAGCTTTTGTACTTCGACTCCGTCCGCTTAGAATTATAAAAACAACAATAAGTAACCTATGTGTTATTCTAGATTATTATACATGTATGCCAGATTTCATCGAGATCCGTTCGGCAGTTTAGGCTACAAATATCCACCCATATATTAAAAACATTCTAGATTTCTTTTTTAGGCGCATTTGTCTCGTCATTTACTAAATGTACATTGTTTATACAAAAAAAATCTAATTTAACTAGATAAAACCCTCTGCTCTGTATGGAGTACATTGGACGTGTTAGGCTGCACTGCATCGATCCTGTCACTATGCGCACTTGGCTGGGAGAGATACCGTGCTGTGACGTCACCGCTCGCAGAACGCCGCGACACCGCCAAACATCTGACGATGATGGTGTGGCCAGTGGCTATTACTGTTGCATTACTCACTGCCTTCATACCGACCACTGAACATCATGATCCTGGGAAAGCGCAGAAAGCCTGCACTGTTAATATTAATGTCGCGTAAGCATTATTCAAATATCATCACCACAGGTATACGTCCCCACTGAGAGGCTCGGAGATTACCCTAAGTTAGTATGACTAGGCCATAGTCAGCCACCTGTACTGCGGGTTGAATTTCTTCGCGAATATGTGCAGGCATCACGTTTTCCTTCACCGTAAGAACGTCGGGTAAATTACCATTGAAATACGATAATCGAAATCACATTGGTACACGGATTCGAACCCAGGACCTGTAGATTACAAGTCAAGTGCCAATCCTTGAGCCACCGACGCTCTCAATATTCACATATAGAATAGATGAATCTATGTCAAGGTTGAGATAAACTAGAGTAACGGTTCTAGCAATCTAGCGCGCTTAGCGAGATTTCTATTGTGCCAAATTTTACCATAACTAAGAGGGGGGAAAGGGGTTAAGAGTTATGTCAGTCATTCACAGACCTGTGGCACCCATTTCTGGACTACACTTCACTAGTACTGGAGATTTAGATAAGGACAGCAAGCCCTTTCAAGTTCAGAATTTGATATAGACTATCTTATTCTAAGCGCTAATTTTAACTGTGACATTATTCTGTCAAAGACTATGAAAACAAAAGAGAGTCAAGTCTGCTCCAATTGGCTTTCATCTTAAAGATATGCTATTAGTGTGTCATCTTTAACATTAGGGGCCTATCGCACAAAATCGTAAATTGGCTGATAACAATCTGTGTAAAATACGTGACGTCATTTCTTAGTTATCTGAGCTAGTGAGCTAGCTAGTGGTGGGACAGGCCCTTAGTGTTTATATGTTTCAGGTACGTATTCGGGAGTATCCTGCTATCGTTCTACACTCCGGCGGTGGTGATGATTGTATTCTATACGAAAATTATACGCAGCCTCTCCGTGCCGCCGCCGATACGTGCCCACCGCGGTCGCTCGCCAGCAACTGAAGCCACTGTATGTACATGACGGTAATCTATACCTATAAAGAGGAAAGTGTATTTTTTATGTGTTGAAATTATAAAACTATTGAGCCGATTTCAAAAATTCTTTCACCACTAGCTGTTCCCATGCGACTTCATCCGCATAAAATTATGAAAACTATATTTTATTGTTTATATGTGTCAAATTATCAATTAAAAATGTCAAAATGACATGACATGATGATAAAGCATGACAACCTTGCTTCCTTGATATTAGCAGCAACTTATTGTCTCTTTCCCACAATAGGGTTTTTATCCAAAATCCTCCTAAGTCAAATGGCGTGAAAATACATAGCCTAAAGCGTGACATAAGTGTAGGGCTTTTTATTAAAAAAATTATTATTCAAAAACATGCTGTAATTGCTGACATGTTAGGCAACAAAGAAGTGTGTGTTTACCCTTTATTATAATAGTATAGATTAAAAAACAACGTTGTCAGTGAGTAGCGTAGGCCATGTTTTTTAAGTAGCGAGTAACACATAGTACATATATAAGAAAAACAATAAATGGGAATAGTATGAGAATGCTTTCATTCCTTTTTTTAAGGATATAAGACAATTGCCGAATCTAAATATACTAACGCGTGCTGCTGCCTTAATGCCGCCTGATTCTATACTGTAAGTACCATATTATTTATATCTACTATAAATTATAATGAAATACATTATTATTAATACTACCAAATACTTTGAAAAGGTTTTTTTACTATTATTAAAAATATGTGGCGTTACTTGTGTAGGGATAATTTCTCAGCTCGGCAGCGTCGTGCCACAATGACTATATTAAAGTTGATGACGCTATTCCTCGTGTGCTGGACACCGTTCTTCGTCATGTTGCCGACTGGTGAGTAATGAATATTGGAACTAAAAACGGGTGTACACCTTTGACCTAACTGTTGTGCGATTGTCAATTGTTTCGTAGTAAATGCAACTGTTTAGTTGCACAACTAAAAATCTAGTAGCATACTACCATAGAAGCTCATAGAAATCAAAGTGAGACATTTGTGTCAAAGGTGCGCGATCGTTTTTAAAGAGAAAATATTCTGACCGACATTTGTCACTGTTGAAATATATCTTTATGTTATAGATGCACTATGCACATGCGTGTCGGACTCTGTATGGATGTTGTGCACGTGGCTTGGCTATATGAACTCTGCTATCAACCCTATGGTGTACGCGGTCGCATCCCCCAGGGTGCGGAAGGCGCTGCTCGGCTCACATACAAGTACTACGCAAACAGAACGATAGTCGATTGACGGAAGGTTAGTATGTAAAAGTTAGGATTAAAAGTTCTATTGGCATCTTATTTGCGTCTATCAACATAACCTCAAATAAAGAATCGTACAGAGTGACTAATAAAAAACAAATGTTTTAAAATAAATATTCTTTATTTACATACATTCTATCATTTTATTCTTTGGTACAAAAACTACCCATTCGTATCGTATTGTTTTCGAAAATATTTTTATTTAAAATTGCACTCGAAAATACTGTTTTTCCATTCAAAAGGAGTTCCAAATACTATAGGAATTTGTATCAATAATCAACAATGTTAAAAATTATTTACAACTTAGTTAATAAACTTTAAAATAGACTAAAGACATAAATCAACAACCTAGTACTAATTTGTGCAACAATTTCTCTATAAATAACTAATTTACTTTTAGTATTTTTTACAATAAAACAACAATTTTAGTTAATCTGCGTAACAGCAATAGTGACATTTCAACATTTCGTCAAAATATTTTTAATCTGTACATCCGTACATAAAATATCTTAAAATAAAGTGCAACATTTTAAAATAATACTTCATGAAGTACAAAACAGCATTTTTACACTATTATGCATTTGTAACATTATTATTTTATCTGTGGAGATAATTTTACGTTCAACACTGGTTAACATTGTTGGCAGAACGTGACGCTAGTGTCTCAAAATGGCGGCCACAATCAGAACAGCTGTAGCGAGGAATGGCGGCTGCAGAGTTCCCGCGCCGCTGCCGAAATCCCGCGCATCGGGAGAGCATGTCTTACAAGTGCATCTCCCAGACAAACAGTAACCTGGCTCGTCTTCTTCCGATACACATTCCTGGTAAAAATAAGATATAAGGTTATTTATTTGTTGTTTGTTTTATCTAAAATTGTGACCACATATAATTGTTATTTTATAATTCATCTATGTTAAGCGTATAGATTAGGTTAAGAATCTTGGAAATATAGATGTTTGTTAGAGTTTGTAACCTAAACAGCTGAATGGATTCCGACGAAATTTGGTATAGATGTAGAGGATAGTCTTAAAGGACACATTTGCTACTTTTGTTTTTTTAAGTCCACGCACACGGAGTCACGAGCGTAAGCTAGTTAGTAATATTTATTCACTGTTTCTTTATAAATTGTAAAGTTTTTAGATAAAATTGTGACCACATGTTATTGTTATTTTGTGATTTATTTATGTTAAGCTTATAGATTAGGTTTAGAATACTTTAATGTTTGTGTCGAATGATATTATATTAAGAAGTTAAATCTCCTTTAATTATTCTTTTCTTTCTGCCTTTTTCTTACATAGTTTTTATTCTTTTCACCCATTGGGGATCTTTTTAACGATAGTTTTATAACTTCTTTTTACATTTTATGAACTATGACAATGAAATTTATGTTAAAAATATTATTTTAATTGACATTCTATAAAATAAAAATTTGGGATATCGAATTTACAAAGTTTTTATTTAATTTACTTTAAAGTGTAACAAACGTTAAACAAGTTTTTTTTTATTTTAAATCCAAATTAGTGTTAAAAAGTTTTTTACACCTTTATTCCAATAACGATTAGCGCCCTTACACAAAGTGATTTTCGATAATCGATATTGCTAGGGGAATCGACAAAATTTGTTAGAACGTATATAAATGAATACGCGACAAGCTTATCGCCTTATCGAATCACTTTCATACAGTTTTTAAATTTTCAATAATAGAATGTCTAAAAGGGCCAGTTCCACCACTTTGTAATATCAGGTGCGGCTGCAGTTGAAATGTTTGCTATAGAAACGGTCGCTGTGGTTGCATAGTGCTATAGAAACCCTCGTTAGCTGGTAGGTGGTAGATTAGTGTAAAATACCTCATCCCTCCTGCACTCCTGTCCGGGGCGGCGGCGGTGCCAGCAGTGCGGCGGGGTGCCGGCGGCGCGCGCGCTGTACGCGCACGTGCAGGCGCCGCCCAGGCACAGCGCCGCGCCCGCAGACCGCGCGTCCTTCGTGCCCGACAGACTGTCGCACTGCACGTCGTACTCGCACGGATCGTTCAGTGCTTTCACCGCTGCAAACAGTTAAACAAGACTACTATTACTAAAGGCATTATACAAAGAGATTCAAAAAATAGAAGACGCATAGTTAATACTTCACTCGAAATTGAGACATTTTTCACATGATCCACTAGCGGTATCTGTTGGTAAGTTCTTAAAACATGTGTCAACATAATTAAATGAATTGCCAAAAGATGTCACTAAATCATAGTTTTATTTTGTGACACTGTTTAAGGTTATTTATTAACAAAAGATGGAGTTTATAATTTTTATAGTGTTTATAACGGTAGCGTACTAAACTCTCAACTAACATAGTACCTTTCAAAGATGTTACCGGTTGAAAAATGTTTATTATGTCTAGTATATTTCTTAAATGTCCTTGACATTATAACAACAATTCCGACTACCGACCCGAAGGGTAGTTTAACAAAACGTTACTAAACAATTGAATAACAAGTTAGTGATGAATGCGATGTTAAATTAACTATACAAGTGTTCCTCTACTTTACACTTTACTGGTTTTTACTTTTACATTTAGAAAATAATGAGAAATTTTGAATGTATTGGCTCACATTCAACACAAGAGTTGGTCTCCTGGTGCGCGACCCAGTTATCCCTGCAGCGGCAAGTACCCCGACACTGCAACCCTGCGCCTGCGCACTGCAGCTCGTCCTCGCACTCTTCGCCTAGAGTCGCGTCACGTACGCATCTAAAGATATCACAACATAGGTCAATACGTATCCGAAATTAAAACCTTCCATAGCCATCAAGTGTGTATCCTGTGTACAAATTAGTAGGTTAACTAATGAATAAATCGTACCTCGTGCCATTATCCCTAGGGCTGTATTGCAACTGGCACGTGCAATACCCGCGCACACAGAAGGCCTGACGCTCAGCGCCGTGTTCGCCCAAGAAACAGTTCTGATCTACCACGCACCGCTCACCGATTACTAGAAACGAACAAATTCTAACATAAAAATTATGCAAATCATTCACGGAAAACTAAACATTGTGCTGGTATAGAATTACAATTTAACTGTTTAAGGATCAATATAACTGACTTTGCTTTGTATTGTCTTTAGAATTAGGTTGCACTTACCTGCAGTTTCATAGCAGCGGTCATCCTCAAGATGCGCATTGGGTGCGCACGCGCAGACACTGTCGGCGCACTCTGAGTGCACGCCCATAGTAGAGTGGCATTGAATATGTTGAACGCACTCCTCGCCCATACGAGCCTCTGTACACATAAAAACATACTAAAACCTAAAAACTGAGAACAGGCATAACTGGAAAGGATATCACAAATTGGATTGGATATTGCAAACGGTTAGCTATCAATTAAAAAACTTAGTTACCCTTCAAACAGCCCTTGTGAGTGCTATTAACAGCCGCGTAAACGAACCCATCCTTACAAACGCAATAGCTGCTCTGTCGACAGAACGCGTTGTCCGGACAGTCCATATCCGCGTGACAGACGTTGCCTGTGCGTCCTGCAAACACATATAAACATAATTTAGACAATAATATAATTGTAACCACGTAATTATATTCGACACTAAGTGCACCGATTCCCGCCAGGGTGCGTTTATCCTTAATACTTCTGAAGGACATTGACAGATGTCATAGGGATGGGACGCAATGATCTAGTGTTGCGCCGCTAGTCCGGTACGGTACGCTAGCAGTACCGATTTCTTCTGTACGTAAAGAGAAAACAAGAGGATGGGTAGAGTAATGTGAAAATCTTAACTTTGATAACAACGCCATCTAGCGGTTTTTAATTTCCTTAGTATACTTTTGTGGAGTAGTACCCTACAATTAGAAAGAAACATTTTTACGTCTTATCATTCTTCCTGGCAACAATAAAACTGGCAAATAGATACAGTAAATCCCTATCTGAATGTTTATGTAATGATAAACTATTGCGAATGACATTGTTAAAAGGCATTCTATTATTAAATACGTTCAAACGTGTCTCATGCTGATTCCGAGAACTGAAAAAAACCTTTTTATGTAACAAATTACCAAAATACCTCTCAATCATTAAACAATCGAAGAATAGACAAGTATTAAAATTAGTGCCTAAGTATGACGTCACCATACAATTGTTGAGAACAGACAGACGGATGGGCTGTGAAATCTAACATAACAATGGATTGTGACGTAAGCAGGGAAGTATTACATGTATTGTTATGTTGACAACTAGCTGAAGCATATTTCGTACCGTAAAGAATTGATTTACGACGTTTTCAGTAATAAGGGAATTTTAAAAGGACATGGATTCAATATAAACTTTTAGTTACAGCATTGCCTATTATAATTTCCAGATGAAACATTTGCGATGTGAGTAACTTTACTATTAAAAGGTTTGCTTGTTTTTATTATTTTATGTAAAAAATATAGATTTATGGTATAGAAGAAATCGGTACCGTGCTGGAGTAGCGGCGCAACACTAGATTTTGGTATACAAGTCCCTTCCCTATGACATCTGTCAATGTCAATCAGAAAGCGCGCCATTCCAGGCGGGAATCTGTAGATTGAGTATATTATTGTCTTAAAATATACATGTACCAAATCATCATCAACTTGCCCTTCTCCCTACGGGAGTCGGCACAGTATGTACTGCTTCCATACATTTCTATCAGCCGTCATATCTGAATCCACTCCCTTCTTAAGCATATCCTCTTTCACACAATCCATCCATACTTTCAAAACAACAAACCAAATAGACATGTACTTTTACATGTACCAAATACTACTTACATTATTCAGAACTAGTTTTATTTTATAATCTATACTTCTATACTATTATAACAAAGCGTAAACACACACTTCTTTGTTGCCTAAGATCTCAGCAATTACAGCATATTTTTGAATAATTCTTTTTTTAATAAAAAGCCCTACACTTACGTCACGCTTTAGGCTATATATTTTCACGCCATTAAACTTAGGGGGTAAATATTTTGGATAAAACCTTAATGTGAGAAAGGGACCATAAGTTGCTGCCAACATCAAGCAAGCAAGATTGTCATAGTATTTTGACATTTGCAATTGAGAATTTGACAAATGCAAACAAAAAAATTATAATTTCTTGCGGATGAAGCCGCACGCGAACAGCTGGTTATTCAATATTGTACAAGTGAGGTTAGAAACAATCTGTAATTTGCTTTATTTGACTGTGTATTAGATCTTTTAATCCATTTTAAACACCACAGAGTAACTACCGCATGCGTGATTAATTCCAGTTCTTGTTTGATTTACGTAAGATAACGTTTATCAGTACAAGTGGTTAACTGCTTGCACTAATTGTTGACAAACCTTAAGGTTCTTGTATCAATCATGTTCAAGGTCGTTGTTAATTTTACCTTTTGTTTTAACACGAACTTTAACGATAGTGTCTTTTATCGTATTCTAGAAGTCTAAGGGTCTGTCCTACCAAATTGTAAATTGTCTGATAACAATCCAACATTTTTTTTATAATATAAGGTAGCAAACGAGCAACTGGCCACCTGAATCCAACGAAATCGAAAGCGACCGCTGCCCATAAAGATTCGCAAGTGCGTTGCCTACCCTTAATTGACGAAGGAGGAGTCGCACATAAAGAGGACATTTTCCCTTCCTATGCGTCTCCTCCACCGTTAAATCCACTTTTCCTAGCTATCCTTCCCTCTTAAGAAAAGGGTGGAAAGGGAAAGAGACTAAAATTAGCCATGTAGAATATGTGATGAAAATATCGGTGTTACCTTGTCTGACATTGGCGTCTTATTTAAGCTATCTGAGCCTCTATCAGCCAGTGGTGGGACAGGCCTAAAGTCTAGTGAGAAGGCTATTATATTGTGTTAGTAATTTTTACACGTGTTTTACATTTTCCGATACTCTAAGGGGTGAGAGGTTAAGCTAAAAAAGGACAACGGTGCCTCTGCTGTCGCGCTTCTGTCAGAAAATTTGTAAAACAGACATAGACTAATTAGCGTGAAAACTTGACAGCTATGGTATGAAAAGGATCTCGTGACTTGGATACTGAGAGGAACGCTTACCGGGTCAAATAACTCGATGGTCTATAGTCTCAGTGGCAGTGGAATTCTATGTTTAAATGGATTTTATACGCCAGTATTAATATAACAATTAGTGTAATGAGCGATTCATGTGTAATGAAGTTTACAATAAGTCGTAACAAATTAGAATAATTAGTTATATCCAGTATTTATAACGTTTTTTCCATAAAAAATAAACAAAAAATAATTGCATTGTATTTATAGTGAAAAATTAACATTTCAATTATTAATGATAATCATTTTTAGGTTATTATTAATCATTACGTTTCATTATTTCCCTGTTAAAGGTGTTCGACCCAGTTTTGTGCCCTATTGTGCGAGTGTAAAGAATCGATCTATCTTGTTAATAGAATCGATATGGTCAAATCGATTGATTATAAAGCAGGTGAAACTAGCGACCTAATTTAATCAGAATTTGGGTGCTTTCGTTCTTTAAACATTTAATTTTTTTTAATATCAACTTCTACAGACTCTTGGTCCGTACTCTTTTTTGCAGTTTTTTTTTTGTTAATAATCCTTATAACACTAGTGAGTTCCTTTTTTTATTAAATAAAATTATTTAAATATTTTATTTAGAGTAAGAGTTGCACTCAGAGATAGTAAAGTTTATTAGTTTTAACTAAGATAAAAAATACACTAAGGGTCTCCCTTATTTACTATTTCAGTGTCTGTTGTCTGTTACTTTATTTTTATTCCTCTCTTTTCATTTATTTATGTTTTTATGACGTATGAAACCGAGAACACCTCAATCTTACATTTTAGGGTACCGTTATCATTCTGTAGTCTATCTGCTATGGATAATCGAGGAAACGGGCTCCGTGACGTCACAGATCATTGATCAAAATTTTACAGCAAGGAAAAAACAGTTGAACTATTGGCATGTTTTTTTTTAAATTGATGCCACAATAAATGTATTTTACAGCCAGTGACATGACTTTATATGTATAAAATACAATATCACGTTTTTAATTTTAAATAAGAAACAACACCGTAAAATCCTAGATTACTTATCTAGTCTGTTAGTTACACTGAGGGCCTGTCCCACCAATAGCTGATAGAGGCTCAGATAGCTTATAAATGACGCCACTTTCAGATAAGGGAACAAAATCCGATATTCTCATCAGATATTTTACACGTTGGATTGTCAGACAATTTACAATTTGGTCGGACAGGCCCTTAGGCATTAACATATTTTTTTCTGTGCATATTATTTACGTGAATTACTATAAGGTGTAACTCGTCCTATATTCGGTAACGATAAGGTAATCGTGTAGTCGTTGTTTGACCCAGTTAGTAAAAAGGCAGGTCGTGTGAGTTGCGTCGAATGTCGTAAACACAGCGACGAACAAACATAACTAAGGACGGTGGTTACGTTAAGCTATTTATAAAGTAACTGCTACTCGTACTTTAAATTAGTGATTCAATCTATGACTGCTGTCTTTGAAACCATTTTAAAGTACCTACAACTGTTCTTTGACGGCGTCGTTAATTTTGAATTTTAGTTTAAAATAACACAATATTTAATTACTACTTACTATTGATTAGATAGTCATTTGTCATTTTATAAAATTCTATAAATATTTAGCTTCTATTATAATCTGTACATATTCTGTTACGTAATAGCAAATATCTAATTGCATTGGTTTTCGCGCTAAGAATACGTTTCAATATCTAAATAAGGTGTTGCCAGGTAAAAATTTAAATTCATAAACCTGCATACGAAATATTAAAACAAATATATGCGCTAGATAAGAGTATCATGAAAAAAAAATTGAATTGTGATCTAGTTTTCATAACTTTTTAAGTGAAGTCAAAGATTATGAGTCCTCTAGATGTGACAGATAGACATAAAATGACACTTACTTTTCTCTGGACCCTGCGCTAGAGCGAGCCCGAACAGGGCGAATATCCACAACCACCCTGCCATAGTGACGTCACAGTCCACAGCACAGCGCACCTCACGTCTACAACACACAAGATGAATTAAAGAAAACCTCTCAGTAAACTGATGTGCGATAAGAAATTATCTTACAATGATTAATTAACACTGATAGGAAAAATACTTTGGAGTCACGAGATGGGAGCCCGTGGTGGGGATGTCGCTGCTATGCGTGACATCTTCTATACTATTGTTGTCTTACTAATAATATAAATGCGAAAGTTTAGATGGATGTTTGTTAGAGTTTGTAGCCTAAACGGTTAAACGGATCTTAATGAAATTTGGCATTGACATTAGGGATAGTCTAGAAGAATACAGGCTACTCACTTTTGTTTTTTTTTTTACCACGCGTATGGAGTCGCGGGCGAAAGCTAGTTTTTAAATAATGTGCTGAATTCAACTAGGATTACTACAATTAGGATTGCTTAATTACTTTTAACAACTTTAAAAGTGACAACTAGTGGTATAAACACAATTCAATTTGTTACAACATTGACTCAAAGAAGCTGTATATAAAAAGTTTAATTTGTGTCTATTTGATTTTCGTCATTTTGACGCTTATGGTTTTAATTAGTCGGGGTAAAGTGTTTTCGAACTAATAATAGTATACTACATACAAGTAACGTTTTAAGAATACTTTACTGTAATCAACATTAAAAATCCAAAGATGTTTAAGTCGGAACGAAGCAAGAATTGTCATTTCCAAACAATTACCTATCTATTTATATATATCTTTGTAGGTTCGTAATTCAAATCTTTGACAATACTCGAAATAACAATTCATATAAAACTTTAATACTGGCCAGTGAAGTTGATGAAATGAGAATAAAAAACATTAATTACGGCCGCGGGAAAACAAAAGGGGCAGTCGTTACCAAAAAGGAATTTACATGAGCGTTAACGTTATGCTCTAATGAATTTAGTCTCGGTTCACACGGATACCACTGTTCAGTCGACACGACAATCTTATTGGAATGTTTGACAGAATCACTTTTATTTTTTTGTATTGACTTCAATTCTGATTAACTACAAGAAACACTTCGCTTTCATTATATTTGACGTATTAAAAAATCGCTGATTTAAAAATATTTAGGGCCTATCCCACCAAATTGTAAATTGTCAGATAACAATCCAACGTTTAAAATATATGATGGAAATATCGGATTATGTTCCCTTATGACAGTGACGTCATTTTGAAGCTATCTGTACCTCTATCAGCCAGTGGTGGGACAGGCTCTTAATAATCTAGTATATTACTTGGCCATCCCGTCTGCTAGAAAAACATTGTTAAAACAATCGTTTAAAGCCCATATAATTTAGGTTATTTAAGTTAAGTTCTATAATAACTACATAAGCAGTTTTTTATCTACTCTAAAATGTCAATTATAAGCATATTATCAATGTCTATTATTATTTGGAGGTCATTCAGTTAACGTATTGCCCAATCTCTCGCTTACTACGTCACAATGGTAACTCGGAACGTGAGAAAAATGATAGTCATCAAAATATTGCTTTGATGTATTGTAGAATGGACTGTATTTTTTATTAACGGATACAATCATACTCATATTATAAATGCGAACGTTTAGATGGATGGATGGATGTTTAGAGTTTGTAGCCTAAACTGCTTTACGAATCTCGATGAAATTCGGCATATATGTAGTGGATAGTCTAGCTAGCACACATAGCATACTTAGTTTTGTTTTTTTTTCTCCACGCGGACGCAGACTCGGGCGAAAGCTACAAGCTATAAGCTGGGACCATAAACTACAAGCTGCCATCATCAAGGATGTCAATGTCAAAGGCATTACCTGTCATTTGTGCATTTGAATTGAACATTTGCAATTGGGAGTTTCACAAATGTTTTTTTTTATAACATAAGGTGACAAACGAGCAAGCGGCCACTAGAATCCGCCAGAATGGCGAAACGACCGCTGCCCATAGACAACCGCAATTGCAGATGCGTTGCCTACCTTTATACGACGGAGGAGGAGACGCATAAAGAGGATGTTTCCCTTTCCTATGATTCTCCTCCACCGTCAAATCCACTTTCCCTTCCCAACCTCTCCTTATAAGAGAAGAGTGGTAAAGAGAAAGGGACTTAAATCAGGCCTTCGGCACCACACTTATCAAACGAAGCACGGAATTGCTTCCATTTCACGTCTGTCTTCTGTGTGGTCGTGGTATCACACCGAGCGTGCCGGCCCATTCGTGCTGAGATGCTAATGCGGGCACTACCACTGACAATGTAATCAACAAAGTAAGGTTTTTATAATTTCACGCGGATGAAGTATGAAGAACAGCTAGTTGGTTGTTATAACAAATTAAAGTTAGTGGAACAATCGCTATCTCAAACATCGAATAGAAAAAGCGATTAATCTAGGATTAAGGTCGTTAAACATTTCTAGGAAGTAAACAAAATGGCGAAAACTGTAACATTTCAACAATTAAATTGATTTCCTAAACTTGAGAGGCGTTCGATACGGCCGACTTACGCAATTTTGTACAGTCGCGCACATTATAATTATGTATAATTTTATTGCTGATGATTGTTAGTTTAAAATATTTTAAATTTGGTCATTGCTTCAGGCTCACGTAAACCTCAATAAAAGTTACTTTAGCAATAGTTAGAAAAGTTATTACAAAATATCTCCAAATAGATTCTTTGGAGTTTTTCTGGAAAATTAAATTCCTTTGAAGTCTAAACACAATTTGCATTTGTTAAATGATTTAAAATTTTAATATGAAACATTTTTGTACGCGACTGTACATGTGTCATCAAACGGAACGGATAACGAATTATCTCGCGTAGGATCATGACCGAAGATAGCGGCCTCGGAGAGCATCATCACGCTCTCCTCAAAGGGTACCGGCAGTACAATTCTTATCATTTATCAAAGTTCTTTTGTAATGCAAGTTAAATAAAGTTTAAAATGACTAGAATGAATTATAGAATCGAAGCGTCAATACTCGATACCAATCATTAGAAAGGCCTCGAGTTTGATAAATTAACTAATACAGCGAACTATATTCTAGAACTTTCTTTTCAAATTATTGGAATTTTGTTCTTGAATTTATTATCTTGTGACACTGTTTGGTTTAATCTTGAAAAGCGTCACACAAATGAGAGTATATCTATACTAATATTATAAAGAAGAAAGATTTGTATTTCTATATTGTTAGGAATAAAATTAGTACCGTGCTATAGAATTGGCGCAACTCTAGATTATCGGCATAAACGGCACGTCCCTAGCTGACAGCTGTCAATGTCACTGGAAGTATGGATAGATTTGGCGCGCATCCTAAGTCTGGTGAGAAGTATTGCTCTGAGTTTAAAGCGACAGTACCAATTAAATAAGTTGTCTAATAGTATGTATTGAAATAAATCAAAAACAACTGAATCGATTTCAAAAATTCTTTCACCACTCAAAAGCTACGTTGTCGCTAATATTAGCTATCTTTTAATTCCAGGACGAAGTCACGAGAACTAGCTAGTTCGTAATAGAGGGTACATTCTAGAAGAATAATTAATAACATATTCACAGGATTCAACAAACAGCAAGCGTGTGTCGCATTTCGCGCGGTGGTATCGCAGGCCTCACGTTGGCCGAACATAACCTTCTTTGTTTAGGGTTGGCAAATACGAAACAACAACCAATAATATTCTGGAACATTGATCGTTATATTAACAACTATTGCTCGCGACTTTGTCGGCGTGAAAATAAATAAAAATTATAGCTTATTACTCACAGATAAATTATAGGTACAGATAAAGAATTTAAAAAATCGGCAAAGTAGTTTTTGAGTTATTTCAATACATAACAATATACAAATTCTTCCTCTTTATAGTATTAGTACAGAATGAATTCACGCATCATTACAACGTTTTTATGCATTCTAATGATCGTTCAGATGTTACGGTTCAACCGTTCACACGTACATCAGATTTGATAAGATCTATTACATTTTGTTACATAATTAATCTATGATCAATCATGATTACTCTATGACAATGTGGAAAATTATTTGTTTACGTAAAGAATAAACTCAAAAGCTATTGAATTAATTTTAATAATCTTTTGTCATTAAAAATTTACATTATTACTGAGATATATAAACTGTATTTATTAATACATTTTTTTTATTTCACGTGGACACATCGCGAGCAAAAACTAATTAATTACTGAAATTTTAAGTTTAAGCAGTAAAAATAATCTTCCTACTGCTGGAACATGGAATAAAATTACAAACAATCGGTTGCTGATAATTAAAATTAATAACTAACCAAAACGTGAATATGGCAACCCTATAATGTGACATACAACTGGATTCATATAAAACAATCCTCCATTGTGGGAAGCAAGGCAGCGTGACGTGCTGTATGGGAACTCCTGCTTGAACCAAACAAATGAGATAGAAACAATTCGACCATATCGCTTTCTTTGTTTCTCCAAATCATTTGTTTTTGATCTTATTTCCTTATAGGTTATGCTCTCAAACAGCTTCGCTTTTGCAGTGTACGTATTTTTAAACAACTTATTTAATTAATACTGTCGCTTTAAACTTGTAACACTTCTCGCCAGGACTCTGGATGCGCGCCAATCTATCCATACTTCTAGTGACATTGACAGCTGTCAGCTAGGGACGTGACGTTTATGCCGATAATCTAGAGTTGCGCCAATTCTACAGCACGGTACTAATTTTGTTCCTAACAGTATACATGTACAATAATTAGCAAAAACATTTTATAAAACTTAATTAGTGAAGTTACAAACGCACATCGTTGACTAAACTATCGCACAACTGTTATGCGATTGTCGATTGTTTCGCAGACAATCCAATTGTTTAGTAGCACAACTAAACAATTAAGTAGTGTGCGCACTTTCGTATAAGATCATAGGAATTAAAACGAGACAACAGTTTTGCGATAATTTAGTAAAATATGTACGCTTAATATGTTGATAAAAAAACTTCCGACCTTTTAGGTTATGGTGTTGAAGTTCCCGGAGTTTTGTCGAGTGGAAA